TTATGCCTGCAATTACTGTAAACCAAAATACCATACTCAAGAATGGGTAAGATACATTTTCTGTATAATTATCTGAATAATTATGAATTCAATGAGCTTTCTAGCTTTGGACACTTGAGATACAATGTGCTCGAAAAAGTTCAAACTCTTGCTTTATCTCAAACCCAAGTCACGAAAAGTGTTGAGAGGTTTCAGTGAATGTTTGCGTAAAGCTAGATTTAGGTTAAAGCAGCGGCCAATGTGAATAAATCCACTTTTGTCAACATTAAGTGGCAAATTCCACGAAACAGTCCATTCGTACAGCTTGTTCAGTTCTTCATGGATTACTAGTGAAATACAGTTTTCTTTAGTGGGAGAAGAGAATGAATATACCACGTTTAGGTCATCGGCAAAAAGGAAAGGTTTACCATATTGAAAGAGGGAACACACGTCACTGATGAAAAGGAGACAGAGTAATGGACTATTCACACTTCCTTGTATAACCACACTGGTTACATTCACCGTCTTCAAGTAGCAGAATCCGAATTGGACTATTTGGCTATGTTCTGCTAAAAAATATTTGAGCTAAGATAATAGGGGATTTTGTATGTCAAATGAAGAAAGTTTCAGAGGAAGAAGTTTGTGTGAGACATCATCAAAAGCCATACTAAAATCGAAGTACAGAATTATCATTGATTGACCAACATCTCTTCTCTGGGTAGTTTGATCGAAAAATTCAAGATACTATGTCAAATATGAGAGTTTGGTCATAACTGGATTTTTTTCTCTGTGCGGTTTTACTTCTACCCCTTCAATTAGCCTGCTGATGCAATTAGAAGTCAACTTATACAAGCAGAATACTGGCATATAATGCAACGGACTATCTAATTTAACCAAAGATAATACCAATATCAACATTTCCACAACATTGATTGTTACCTGCTTATGCGCACAAAATACTTTTACAGCCTATATGTTCAGCTCCTAATCAACTGGGATTGCTATATATCTTAAAGTGACTGGATAAAATATCTCTATACCAGATCATTCTCAACCATTATAATCCCACCTAATCTAACTCCTAAACAATCTTCACGTAGATTTCGATTTTGCACGTTAATAATTTAACCGAAACTTTGGAATCGTTACATGTATTTTCCGACCGTTTGCTGTCGCCTTGTGTTTAATTAACCTTTCAGTTTATCAATACCCGAAGGATTTTTATTGTTCTTTTGGTAGCCTACGGAGTGCGACAATCCCGCTCGACTTGGTATTGAGCCAATGTCATATTGGCTCAGGTGGGAGAGTAGTGTAGAGGTAATGGTTCTTAACCACACGATTCTCCAAGCTGAACATATAATTACCGAGAAGATTCACCATCAAAATGTAACATTTGAAGTAGAACGGTAATGGTAAACGAGGGAAGAATTAATCAAAATGGCATGACTCAACCATACATTCGTTGTCACTCTGCATAACTTATTGTTTTTGCATCAAACACATAACCACTTCCCACCTTCAATGTGTTCTTCAGAAATATTAAACGTTATTTTGCTGATTCTCACTATTTGACAAGTCACTGTAGACAATGATCGGACTCTCACGTAATATCTTATGGATTAGGTAGTCGCATCATGACTAACCTATAACTTTAGGGTTAGGTCTAGTATTATAGCAGTACTAATACCGATTCAGACTATTATTATACATATCCACCACTTAAAAGCGTCATTCTTCCTTAAAGGAGACAATCTGCCACAACACAACTACCAAAACTTCCTTTTCGATTGTAATCACATGTGTGTCTAGCATCCGAACGAGCAGTTGTGTCACAGATTATAAGGACCAGTTCAATAGCTGCGTATTTTTGAGACTTAATACTATAAGAAGATGTAGTTTATCAAAATTATGTGATATATTTGCGCAATACATTTCGAACAATCTGATCACACATATACTTCTTAAGAACATTTATATATGAAAAATTAAAAGGTCAACTAGACAGGTTAAGGGTAAGTCATAACAAAGGTAAAATATTGAAGTACACAAAAACAAATGTGATTACCACTCTGGACAGTAAATCAGTTTCACCAAAAGACCAAACAGCATGAAAACGATTGTGTCTACAAATTTACATGTATGTGTAGAAACACGTACGTAGGGAGGAGCAATCGTGATTTGCAATTAAGGGTGGGTGAGCATATACCAAAATGGTTGCAAAATCAGATGAATTCCAATGGTGAAATAAGACCACAGGATAGACAGACATCATCATCCATTGCGAAACATTTGATTGAGACGGGTCATAAGGTTGATATCAAATCGGCATTTGTTATGTTGTACAAAAGCCTTCAAGGACGTATACTAAAGTTTATTGAAGCCTTGGCTATACGAAAATTGAAACCCCCTTTATGTATTCAAAAACAATTTGTACTTACACTTAACCTACCCTAGTAGTACTGATTTACTGTCCAGAGTGGTAATCACATTTGTTTTTGTGTACTTTAATATTTTTCCTTTGTTATGAATTACCCTTAACCTGTCTAGTTGACCTTTTAATTTTTCATATATAAATGTTCTTAAGAAGTATATGTGTGATCAGATTGTTCGAAATGTATTGCGCAAATATATCACATAATTCTGATAAACTACGTCTTCTCATTGCATTATCGAAATTTATCAAAGGGACTAATTGTTTTAAACTTAATACTATGCAGACCGACGTCCGTCACTCTTATTTTGAAATGGTATCTGCAGATACTTTGTTAAATTTGGTCGGCTAAGTATTCTTTCAATAGATACTTATCATAAACACGTCACTTAACCTATAGAAAGCTGTGCATTCTAATAGGAACCATAATTTTTGACTACAGCTACTTGAAGTCGAAGGTCCGTCTACACCAATAATTATAGTAACTTATTCTCAGATAACAGTCTGTTAAATGAGGCATGCCAGTTTACATGCAAGATCGAACTATTACAGAATATAGTCTTCACAGTTTGTAAACCTTCTTGCTATGACCTCCGAGATTATCAGTGCTGAAGGAAGCAAAAAGGTAGGACATATCAACACCTAAATTATAATTAAAGATACAAAATGCCAGTATATGGTCACCTCGCGCCCTACGATACGACAAAGTGAAAAGGTTTAGGTGTCTTATGTGCTCATCGTAAGGGAGTCTAGAAAGACCCTTCACCAATTTTGTTCCCATGTGCCAAACGCGCTCAAGTGAATTGGTATTCTTAATCAGACATGGGCTAGCTGCTTGGATACAGTACTCTAAGTGTTGTCTTACACTGGTGAGATACAAAATTCAAAATATCTCCTCGTCAAAGCATTTAAATGCTCGGCGAAGTGAACATAACGCACGATAACCTTTGACAGCAACTGCGTTGCAATGCGTAATTGTTTTCAAGTCGTGACTCACTAATAATTCTAAGTTTTTGTGTTCTTGAACGCGCGGAAAAGGTGTGCCACCAATAGTATAATTGTAACCATTACCGTGTCCGAAGTGCATGAGAACACTCTTACTAGAGTTAACTCCTAAACCTCAACCTCGAGCCCATCTAACTACTTCATCTAAGTTAGCTTGGAGGTCAAAATTATCACCCTCACTTCTTATGGTTCTCCAGATTTTTACATCATCCGCAAATAATAATGTCGAAGACTTAATTAATAGCGGCAATTCATTAACGTAAAGAAGAAAAAGTAGGAGGCCTAAGATGGTATGAATGGACAAAGAACTATACAAATGGAGGTGGTTGAAAAAGAAGCTGAAAGTATAGGATTATGTGTAGTTTTAAAATAGTAACGAAAATGGCAATCTGATACACAAATAGCTATCCAGCCTTTCTGTCGAAGCTATTTGAGTTCATTTTTATTTTTCTAGATTTTATAGGGTCATGAGCAGTCTTCTTTCGTATCGAGTTGTCTAATTTTGCTTGTAATAGGATTTCTCGGTAGGAAGATAATCCAGTTCAATGTTACTGACATGATTTAAAGAGGTATTTTGCATAATGAATTAGCATTAATACCATTGGTTCGTGACACCCCACTAGACCGTAAGAAGCCGTAATTAAACAAAATGTTCTACCCTACAGACATTGAAGTTATCTTCCCGCCATCATGTTTGCTGGCCAATAACGCAACTCTCCTTCCTTTTGTGATGTTAGTCTCTCTTACGTTTGTGGTATGTATAAATATCGCTTTAATTTAAGCTCTATGTTGCACACATTGATGGAATACACTGTCACTACTGGTTCTATGTTACAAACAAATCAGACAGTTAAAGCTTTTGTATTGGGGGTTAGACATCCAGTTAGTATATCACGCTGCTATGAAGATAACTAATGGTATAAGTTATAAGATACTGGTCACACGATGTGTGGGTTAGAAATAATAAGAACAGATAGCTGATCAAAGAACATGGAAGAGGAGTTTGGGGTTGTAAAATTTCAAAGATGATAAGTAAAAAAAATATTCCATTTCTAGTAATGATTTTTAAGAATGTTAATACTAGTGGAATATGAACTGGAAGGAACTCACAATCTTTCACAGTATGTTCTGAGATTCTATGATTGGACAATTTCTGATTTTCTACCTGAGCAGTCTGTAGTTGCGTTACCTTTTATTGAGTCATTGTCCTAGATGTTTCTAAGGTTCAAAGTGTGCAATACCACCAATAGTTGCAGACACCATATGAAAACTCAAGAAATATAGTTACTCAGTAGTTATAAAAAAGGATACAAAGCATATAACACAAGAACACGATGTAGTGTTTATAAGTATTTGAATTATCGTATGAACTAGGAATCCCAGCAATAACGTAATTGGATCAAGAACTACTAGATAAGCACAAACAAATGTACTGTATTTACAATTCGAAATCAATCGTTTAACAAGTACAAAGGTATCATTAGTTCATTCAAACACCACATCCGCCACAGCTTAATTTAAAGTGAGTGTTTGTAATCGATTGTACGTCTTCTTAAGTTCATCCTGTGTTTGTCCGACATTGCATTGGATAAAAACTCTGTAGTATCTAGAATGTGCTCATTAGTATTGGAATTAACAAATGAGATCAGAACAGACTCACCTGCTTCCTAGGATTGTGTATTCAGCATGTCGGTTGTGTACTGAAACCGCTGCTACCTAAAATTTGAACCATGGACTTTTAGACTATCGTACAACACGAGATAATGTTGGATCTTTATATCCAAAATTTATGAATGATGTGGCTTGATTTAAAACATATTTCTCACATTGACTAGAGTAAACATTAAAAGTGTTTTTGTGATAAGAATAAACAGCAGTTGATATGAAATCATCCGAATTGTAATCAAAGTCGAGGTCACTTAGTACTCGTGCTTTGCACTGAAAAAGTTCCCAACAAGAAACAAATGCATTATGAGGACAAATAATATTTGATATGACATCAAGCTTTGACTCTTCTGTGATAGTTTCCTTGAATTTATCAGGAATGTCGTTGCAGAGTAATGGATCATTAGAAAAATCACCATCTATCAAAACTACACAATGTTTTCGATCATGAATAGGTTTATCCAACATATTTTCCTCAGATTTGCAAAGAATTTCGTCAGAAATAAGTGAATCATTAGGAGAAACCATATCTTGTACAATAACATGAGAAATCTGATAAATCGATTGATTAGAATCTGTTGTCTCGCAAGAATTCTGAGTATCATTTAACTCTGCACTGCTGTATGACACTACACTGTCTTTTGAAATCGTTGATAAGAGTAAATAATCATTAGGAACACTGGACTTAATAGAATCAGAATTACAAGACTTAATATTCGTTGCAGCACGACGAACAGTAATATTACAAACTGACAGAATATGTTCAGTATCACCACATTTTTAGCACTTAGAATTACGAAATTTACATGAATTAAAGGAGTGGAACTTGCCGCGGGACAAACATTCACTAAACTTGTACCCATCTTCGTGGACTGCATCGCAACTTCTCACTGAATCATCTTCATAACCTTGAGTATGAATTGGGTTGGTATGACGAAATGTAGTGGATTTTTTTATATCCTCATGAATCATTTTACGAAATCTTCCTTTATTGTGTTCGAAATTTGTACACTTAACATAGTCTAGCATTAGATCCTTAAGAGTCGTATAAGAAAGTGAAATGGGCTTTTCCGGTAAAACCAGACTTTTTAATAAGCTATATGATTCTTTTCCGATGAATGTTAGGAAATGTGCTACAATATTAACATCCTCATCATCTTCCTTGGTCATAGCCCAGATTTCTAACCTTTCAAAGTAATCCTCAAAAGCATCAAAATCTGAATATATGTCCAACCGTTCCATAACAGGCCCCATTGCGACGCCAATGAAATAATTAGGAGTATTTGAATTCTAGTACTAACTAGGAATCCCAGAAATAATGAAATTGGATCAAAAACTACTAGATAACCACAAACAAATGTACTGTGTCTGGAATTCGAAATCAATCATTCAACAAGTACAAAGGTATCATTAGTTCATTCAAACACCAAACACGAATAAAGCCCTGTTTGAACCGCAATATGTTAAATTACAGAGGCTATTCGGGTGTCGAATAATTTCAGTTTGTGACACGGCCACTAAGTGCCAATCGTTTAGAAGTTGGATGAACCATCGTTAAATCCAGCTTCGTCTAGGTGAGCTCCGTCGAGCATGTGGGAAACTCCGAACTGGTCCATAAAGCATTTTAGGGAAGATTTAAATTGAGCAAGCGTTTAACTTGACCGGATGTCTATAGGTAACCTATTCCAGAGGCTTGCATAGCATGTAACACAGATAGTTGGTTTCATTTCGTTTGATGTTCTCGATGCCTTTGGTACATAATTCCGATTCAGAGAGTTATGATTACTATTTTCGGAAAATTTTGAAGTGTCACAATTTATTGTATTTTTACTACACGAAATTTTGAAAAGTAGGATGAAGTTCAAATCGTCTTAACCACAGGGGATCCGGTCTCCATGCTTCGCATCTATCTTCATATGATAGATCGAGCGCGAGAAGTCTTGTAAAATGGTGCTGTACTTTCTCAATTTTTTGTCGGTCAATGGAATGTATGCAACTAAATATGATTGATCAGTTTTCTAGTAGAGGCCGAACACATACCTTACAAAGGGCTATTTTAGATTCCTTTGAATGGAAATTACGGTTGATAAACCTAATAGGTCTATGGGCTTTGGACACTTGAGATGTAACCTGTTTAGTTAATGAAAGACTTTTGGGATATTTCACTCCTAAGTCGCAGATGCTACTTACCTGTGTGCCTTTCAACTTGTTCAGTTGCAATCTTATCTGTGGATTAAACGTGCTGAAATACATGTACCCAGGTTTTTCGGTATTAAGAGACAGAAACCATGCGTTACACCAGTCTTGGAGTTTATTCAGAACTTTTTGTACTATACAGCTGACATTTGAACTGGGACGTGGGTCGAATGCATATACCACTTAAAGGTCGTCAGCAAATAGAAAGGTTTTCCTTAATTTAAAGCAATTGCATTGTTATAACTTGTGAGCCTGTGTGCCCTGTTTATTGTATAACGCAACGATACCGCCAATCAGAGAGCAGCGAATTATCGACCGAACCAGTGACGCATAACACACGTGCGAGTAGCCTAGAGTTCTGATCCTCCTGCTTTCCGCCTAGCCCAGCCAGTTGGATCCAGAACACCGATTTCAGTCTCTGCAATATGAATCATTTATTTCAAGCATACTGGGTTTATATAACAACCAGACAGACCACAATGTACCGTAAATTATGAAACAACATTTGTACAAGAATTAGCCAAATGTGGCTGTGAGTGAGGGAGATAGTAATAAATAGACAGGGCATAATTCAAGAATGGTAAATCGTATAATAATACTTCATAGGTCAAAATAAAGCTCATAAAAAGAGAAACATGCGTATGAACAGTTTAGTTACAAAACAATTATACGATAAAAATATACTCATAGAATTGGTCCAAAAATGAATCCCCAAAATTACCATTCATTATTCATATCGTAATATAACAGCATATTTCACTAACATACATAATGAAAAACAGAGGGACAAGCCTTAGCCCTGGAAGATACTACTGGTAATGTTCTTAGGATCGGATGTGATCCATTTATGTATTTTACCACCTATACCTAAAGTTTTTAGTTTAATTAAGAGAGAAGAGTTTTGCGCTTTCTCTAACCCTTTGATGAAGTCAAAGTAAAGAGTCACAACCAGTTTCCTTCCACTCCCACTGTTCATTTTTCAGTGTTCCAGGTAACAGGTTATGCATGATGTTTTGGAAATAAACCCATATTGTGAAGATACAATCAATTGGTGCTTATCAAGATGGTTGCCAGTTGCTTTCTCAATAATCGCCATAGTTCTAGATAGGACGGAAGTGTGCTTAATAGGGTGATAATAGTCTATGCCTAGTCTGGACCTATTTTCAAAGTAAGGGATGATGTGTGTAGTTTCCCACTGACAAAAAATGCCTGAATCAAAGGACAGGTTGAATATTCTGGTAAGCAGGACGTGAATGTCAGATCCCCATACTTTACTCAATTAGCCGGCATTTCATAATAGCCACTTCCTAGAGAAGGTTTTAATGACCTTAATGCCAATGTACATAAGTAAAAACTGCTGTATATGCGTTCATTCTGACTACATTCAGTGAATGCCCGAGCAAACTTTTTGTTAAGCAGTCCACACAGTTTTCCTAGGTCTCTTGTTAGAGCATAATTGACTTTTAGGACAGTAGGAATATTAGAGTGAGTACAGAGTTTCTTCTCTAAAGTAGCAAATAAAAAACTATTGTTATTTCGAATATTGGAACACTATCGTTCAGCTTCTAATTCTTTTGTTGTCTAAAGCTTTTGATATTGCTAAAAACCGTTTGAATGTTGGAAATAGCTGAAAAGTTACGTTGAACAATGAACCTTTTCCGCAACTCACTTTATATCTGAATTTAATGGTAAGGGCGGCCTGCTTGAGCTTCTGGGCTACCTGTTCCTGCCATCTAGATATTTCAACAAGTTATCTATTTTTGTTTGTTTTAATATATCATTATGTTTATTAATCACATAACCTATTCTGCTGCGTTTCTGAAAAGTGTACAACCTTTCGTTGTCAAAGTTACAAAAAACTCAATAAGAGACAATGTGGTTGCTGGCAATATACAGCGAAAAGAATGTACATTATTCAAATGTTCATTTACTGAACTGCTAACATCTAATCGGCTATCACTCAATATTTATCGCCAGGACCGACCAAGGAGAAAGAAACGGAAACTTGTTGAAATACTATGCGCTGAGAATTCTATATTGTACCAAAAATATAATATTGAATAAAGCTAATAATAATATAATAGGGACGTATGGTTGTTTTATGGTACTTGGAGCGATTAAGTTCAGACAGGTCCTGAGATTAAAATAAAGAAAATCTAGTGAAGTGTTAACATCATCAAAATAATAAAAATAATAATAACAATAATAATAATATACTTCTGCATGTGCAGGTACACACCATTTTTACAGGCATGATCTATAAATTACAACATTTGTTGGTTCGCAAAATGCTTCCCAACTTATTAAGTTTATAGTTGTTATAAAGTGAAATCGTAGAGCGCTTGCTGTAAACTATGACCTTGAGAGGACGCGTACGTTAAGTTTGCTCCAAACGTCAGAAGTTTCATAGCTGTGCTCTCAGAGCAAGATTCTGAAGGAGAAAAAAAGAGAAACAGAAGAGCAGCAAGGCACTTGGATATGAACGCCAAAGGTTGCTTAACATTGTGTAGTAGAACGGACAGAGGTATAATAAATAAGAATAAATTCATACAATGTCTTGTTAGACCACGTAGAAGAATTTAGTAGTAGGACCAGTTGGTGTTTACAAAGCTACAGATGGAATATTTGAGAACTTTTGTTCCATTAGAAGTGCAAGAGCACTTTCATACAATGAGTTGTCAGTCTACAACGTAGTGAGCACTGCTTGGAAATTCAGGACTAGTGTATTTAATATATAGAGGCATTGTGTATGAAAATTAAGTCTAATAGACTAGCATTTCTGGTAGCCTTGCTGACTATCTGTGTCAAGCAGTTTGTTCCTAGTACTTTGATGAATTTTCCAAAGTAAGACTGACTACGTAATGGATTCCAACTAGCATACGGGATATTGAAATCCCCACTCATTAAATTAACAACGTGTAATGATGATAAGTATGTGAATACTTGGTTCAAATGTGTATCCATTGCGCGAGCGGCATTTGGTGGTATATAGGTGCAAACTACAATAAAATGCTGCTGGTTACAATTATTTATAGTTATGAATATAGCGTCATCAAACAGTCCACAACCCTCTGAGAAGATTATAGTTGACAGAATATCAGACTGTACATAGCTTATACAGCCCCCATCTTCTTATGAATTCCGGTTTTGCGGTGCATTTTAAAACCATCTACAGTGTTAAATCAGAAATATCAGGAATGCTCCAGGTTTAAGATATTAGAATACAGCATAGATTGATCAAGTAAGCTAGAGACATAAGATAAGCCTTCTTATTGCTGAGAAAGCGTGAATCAAGTAAAACAGTGAAAAGCTGTTAGCGGATAATGAAATAGGATAAATCGCCAACCAACCTAATAAATGAAAAATTATTTTGTTCAATGTTCACGCAACTGATATTTGCGGATGGTTCATTACAACTAGTCAGCGGTTAAGGGATGTGGTAGTCGTTGAAGGGGATAGAGATGCTTCATTCCTAAGATCCACAGGAATAGGCGTGGTATGGTAGAACGAGCCGGTGATTAGTTGATTGGAGCTTTTGCAACTGAGAGGGAGTAATAGCGATGGTCTTAAAGCGATGTAATGTTTGCTTCTCATTTTGTTGATGACATGGATTAGAGGGGATATATCGAATGTGCTAGCGAATTTATGTGGATAGTTTAATCAGAGGGGAGGGATGGGAATACTCTCTGGTCGAAGCTGCACGGGAGAGGCAGGTTCACATCTCGCATGTGGTGTGGAATGACTTTGGGAAGATGCTGCGATATAGGTGCCACCAAGGTCCGTATTCAAAAAAATGTTGTACAGGCTTACTGTGAAGTCTACTGTTATTTACAAAATAGTCTTGATAAATTGGCTAGCAGCTTGGATTGTATCTATTTGCATTAGTGTGAGCTTTGGAGGGATCTGCTGTACGTATCTGTAACTAGTTATGACTTTTTGTTCATGGGAGCGGTGGGTTGGTAATGAGGGATGTGAAAAGTTTTCTTTCACAGGGTAATTATGTTTGTGGTCCTGTGGAACAGGGATAGGGTGTGGGGCAAGAAACTTACTACTCTCACACTTATTAATAGTTATGGACTTTTGTGGGTGAGTGGGGCGATCAGTACTCTGATAATTTTCGTTTGTTTGTGTTAGAAGGTTGGTTAATCTTGGGCCTACCAGCAGGTTTACTACTTAGAGGTGTTGAGGGTAAGTTACATGATATCAGT